AAAACGTGTTTTGGCGTGGCATATTTTAATGCAGCCAAACACGCCTTTCTTCAGTTAAATGGGTGCCTCTTGACCGTTGGATTGAACTTGATCTAATGGTGGATCTTGTGGTATATATATACTTGGCCCCTTTTGCCCTAATTGATTTGGACCGTCATTTTTCTTTCTCTCCAGCTGCGGCTGAGGTTCCAGAGTATTCCATTCTCTCCTTCGTCTTCTTCGTGAGAGTCCAATCTCTGATTGGATCTGGTTTCTGTGTGATTCCATCTTTGTGTTCCTTAATACTGTGTGTATTGGAGAGTTTGGTGTGTGATTTTACCCCTTGTGGTTTCCTTTAACTGATAAAGGAAAACCTTAGGGTTTGGGGCGATCGGTGTGGGTCATACAGAAGGGTACAATCCTGTATTTTCTTGAGTCTGAGCCCTATTCATGAAAGGAACTTCATCTTGATGTCGTGTGGCTTGAGTTCTCGATGAATGACTGGAGGATTTAATTTTCTGCCTCTTTTCTTGTAATCTTTCTTGTTCATTTTCTGTGATTTTGTACTGATAGATTGTTGTAACACTATTGATCATCAAGAAAAAGAAGTTCAATGCAAGATAGTAGTATCCCAACAAGGCAAAAATCATACACTAAAAATTTCACAGCAAGGCAACATGCTAACACAAAAATATAACTGTACAGTGTGCACAAAAATATTGGATCAAGGATATGCTTAAATCACCTGCAAGCCACTGCCTTTCAAGTCTTTCCCGTTATCTCTGCCTATTCACAGGATTAATCTTCTCATCCTGATCAGAAAACAACAGAAACAGAGATTAGTAAGTCCACAAAATGAACAGAGCTCAACCAACCAAATATGCATGCCAAAGTTTCTGCAAGCAATAAGAATTCATTACATGATCCAGAAGCGAGTGATGTTTAGCTCTGAAGATAGTATGTGCAAAGCGGCTTTTTAGCATTGCAGCGCGCAAAACCTTGTTTGGCGACGTATTACCAGGTACAGTAGTTCCTAAACAAAGATAAAATAAATCAAATCTCCATAGTTCCAAGGCAAGAATGATACTTCAATAGGTTGGAACTTGAAATTTGGTGAGGAAATTGAAATCATTTTCTTATATCATGAATTCATACGTGCACGTGTCTGTGTGCAACGGGAGTAAAAGATTAATCCCAAAATACAAATGGATACTCAGATGTAGTCTTCTAGAAAGAAACTAATGATGCATTTCCATATCTAGATGATAGCTATCTTTATCAACGACAGCAGTTGTGGGCAGGGAAGAGACACTTTGCTGATAACTGTCTTCCTTCGAAACTCTCTCATGCCCTACAAATCATTGGCAATGGCATGTCGAAACTCAAATAATAATAAAAAAGAAGCTACACAATTATAAAGATAAAAGTAACAGCTATAGCTCTCACCATCTGATTCCAGCTTCAATCCTCTTGTACGAGATGTCAAGGGATATTTAAGCCCACAATCCTGATGTCAACAGACAGGGTTACGATCAAACAAAAGTTGCACCATATATTAAAAATAAGATTTGGTGCAAAGAGAAGAGGCTGAAACTTACAGGTTTAGGATCAACGCGGTGATCACAATCAGGTAATCTTTCCGAAGAAAAACCTGAAACAAGATGAAATGCGATCCAAATTAGTTGGCAGTAACACACTTGGAGCATACAAACAGCAGAAATAAGAAATTAACTCACTCGATAATTTCACAAGCTCTTTCCTCAAATCTCGTTTTTCCTCCAACGAAATTGGCCTCCCTTTGACAAGACATATGTTCTCTGAAGCTCTATTAAGGCAAGACTCTGGGGCATTTTGGCCTTTCTTTTCTATTTCAGGCCTTTTATCTTGGCCAATCTTTTCTATTTCATCTAAATTGTGTAACTGTTGGATATTTCCGCCTGTGCACTTCAATTTCATCTCCAGTAATTTCCATCTCCTATTAAAAACATCATTCAATTCTTTCGCAAAGTTATAAACATAGTTCCCAGGAGGATCGTATAACATAGCATTCGAAAAAGTCATCCTCACATCACTAGCAAATTCCTCAGCCTCAAGAGTTTTTATTGTCCTCCAGTTTATGCTTTATCTTTCCCAGATCCATTGGTACAGTAATTATTGAAAAATAATCAGGAATTTTCAGCTTCACAGGATTAACAGGACGATTGAAAGCAAATCTGCGAGGGTGTTCCATCAAGGATCTCAAAATGCTCCTACAATAATGCTTGAAAATTCGATCCAACTCTGTTTTTTCTCCCTTGGACACTCAAAAATCACTCCAGGCTTGCATTTGTTGGAGTTGCTTGATGTGGAAAGTTTGACTGGAATAGATTTTCCATTAGAAGTAACTCGATCTCTGCTTTCATTATTCACGATCATGATGTTTCCACGAGTTGTCTTCTGATTCACGCCTTATTCCTTTTGAGGTGATTTTGAACTTTAGGCTTCTTCTCGGTGTGTTATCAACGACGGGGACAACTTTGGGAATAGCTGGTAGATTCTTCCTATTTTTCACAATAGCCTTTCTTATTAAAAGTAATATATTGCCCTTAATGAAATTATTTACAAGATCTATCTTATATCTTTAAAGAATTGTCAATCAGGTCCTATATCTATATTTTTCAATCTTTTGAACACCTTTAAGTATTCTTTATATTTTAATAGTTCTTCAAAAATTATAGGTTGTCCTTTCTTGGTTATATATCCTTGAAATAATCCTTCTGAGATTTCTTCTTGTATATTAGTATGTTTAGTTATAATATCTTCTACTTTTCTTATTTCTCTATAAGTTTTTACAGAATCAAATCCTATATTATTCTTACAACTATATCTCTATATATTTCTTCAATTTTTTCTTTACCAATAGGAAATATAACATCAGATTTTACGTCTAATTTAAGCAGAAAAGAAACATCTTCTTCATCTAAAAACAAAATGAGATTATTTTCATCATTAACAGTGGAAGTGGATGCTTGTGAATTGTTCATGAAAATAATTAAAGCATAAACATGTAAAGATAAGTAAATAACTTACAGTAATCAAGTGGAAATAAACAGGTTTTCCCTCCAGTATGCTCTTATAGATGCTTTGCATGTACTTAATCAATCTTCTAAATCAAGTAAAAGTTTTTCATTTGGGTTCACAACTGCTTCCGCAAAAGGCTTTTCAATTAAGGTTGCATTTCT